AAAAGAAAGAAAGAAAGGTCATAAAATGGAGCAAAATTCACTTAACAAATGTTCCGCTTACCAACATAAATTTTGGGCTCAGTTGTGGTAATAAGTTGAGGACTACCTGTATTCTTTAGTAGCAACTATTTATTACTTTTTAAAAATGAAATTGGGAGGACATAAAGACAATTTAAGAAATTGTAAATAGGTAAAATACATTAAATTATTTCTAAAGTCTGGGATTTAATTCACATTGTGATCTAGCTGTTCTTGCAAAAATGCTACTTACTGGTAGCCAAAGGGAGGTTCAATATCTGTCTTCATTTGTGTTTGCTAAAATAAAAAGTAAAAAGTCAGATGTATGATCCTTTAGCAGGGATTGAACATTTCTTTGCAGCCAGGATCAGTACTGTTTGATTTGTAAATACTTTGGGTCTCTATATTAGATACTGAAGCAGGGATTAAATTCTGAGGGGTAAATAACTGTGGGTAACTCAGTTCCAAGGAGCATAGGAAAGTGTAGGTCATCATACTATCACTGGGAATCAAATCAAATCAAATCAAACTGTTTTGTCTGGTTTTGGAAGTTTTCATGTTGTCCATGAAAAGTTTTAAAGAAAAATGATTTCGACAGATTAATGGAGGAAATACGTGCCAGTTTTGCCCCTTAAACTTTTTTGCACTTACAAAACCCGATTAAAACCACTTTTGCCCTGCTTGTTTTGAGAAAGTCACCCTTAGGTTTGTGACGTTTGTGGATTGCTCATTCTACTTTTTAAGGTCACTGAATGTTAAAGGTTTCCTAAAACTTTCATAAGACTGTTTCTGTTTGTAATGGTTAAGTCAGTTCTGTTGAAGGTAGCTTCAGTTAGACCTTCTGCCTCTCTAATTGGAGAACTTAAATGCTGTCAGAGAAGCAGACATTCTGGTGGTCCGAATATGGCCATTTTCAGCTGTTATCCCATAATTCTTTAATCCAGCTTCCAGTAACAGCGTCTAGTTCTAGGTTACAGGAGGATGGCTTTTGATTCTGTTTTTGATAAAAAAAAATTGGGGATGAGGCAATTAAATGGGTCTATGATAATTGTCATTCTGTAGGGCTTTTCTGTCAGTGTTTTGGGCAGACACAACTTGCTAGTCTTAGCCACAACTATCCATTGAACACTGGCAAATTTTCTACCCACTAGATGCCTTACCAGAACAGGATAGTAGATCTTATCAGGACAAAAGTCCCATATTTTGTTGACAGACACAGTTACCTGGTTTGCAAGCCTGTGCAAGTTCAAATAGTAGTATTCTATTCTTTCCATTGGGTGTGGAGGCTCATGAAGGGTTGTGCCTTGAACAAGAATAGCCAGTATTTCTCCTGAGAATAGATTAGGATATGATCATATTTGAAAAATTTATCAGATTTCAAGAGCAACATACTAAAGACATGTAGAGAATTTTGCTTTGAAAAATAAAGAAATAGCTTTTTGGGAGGCAGTGAATATCTAGGCAGAGTCACTGATACCCTGTTGTAGTAAAAATAGTAGATTTGGTCTTCCTTTAAAAACAGGATATGCCATTAGACTGATTTGGGCTAATACTGCTTGTACCCAATGTCCAAAGAATGTCATTTGGTCAGAAGAAATTGTAGAAGGGATCCAGTGAAAAGGAGATGAGAACCAAAAGCTGACCTCTGGCATTTTACAAAAATACTGTATATAATAAAGCTTTATTTTTTGTTTAGAGCTGTCTTAAATTTGGGTGCATGCTATTTCCTCATGTTAAAACAAAAACTTCAGCAGTAATTTAATTTTTCCAATGTAGAAGATTCTACAATAGTTCTTTTTTAATACCAGTGTTCAAAAAGTTCGCCCTTCCATGATTTTGTTCCATGAACAAGTCCTGTTCACGTCATTTTTTTTTTTTTAAATTGACTGGAAGATTCTCAGAAACCACCTGGACAAGTTTTCTTGGCAAGGTTTTTCAGCAGTGGTTTGCCATCACCTTCTTCTACTTCATGTGGTTATTTCTACCACATCTTAACCCATACGGTATTGAATTAATCTGATTGCCTGGGTTTACATTTACGTACTATTGAAGCGGCCACAATGGATGGATTTTGCAACAAACAGAGCCAAGAGTGTGTCTTATGAACACTATTTGTGTGATTAATTTATAGTTCAGTATGCTGTACTAGCCCAGAAATAGAGTTGATTAAACCATAGTTCAGTTAACTAAATTATATGAGTGGAGTCAGTCTCAGTGGATGTAACAATCATATGACACCTGCTCTGCAAGGTAGATCAAAAAAGCCTCAAAAAGATTCCCACGATTAGCTAAATATGTGGGTTGAAGTAGAAGTTAGTCTGGCGTTGAAAAGAGAAATGACAGGGAAGCATTGAGGGAAAGAATCACCGTAAAGATCTGAATCATACAGGCAACACTACTTTCTTTTCCTCTTTGTATGAGAATCCTGCATTGTGAGTTAGAAATTTTTCACATTTTGTGAGGTGATTTCTACCCCTGGACGTTACACTACTGCATCCTTCTTTGATTTCCAAAATTTCCATGGATCTTTTGAAAATCATTAACCCTTGATACCAGTCTCCTATTCTGAAGAATGGCCTTGTTGATTCTGTATATCAAGACAGGAGGAATATAGAGAAAAGGAATGTAGAACAGGGTAGATTAGATTCCTATCCATATTGTTTCCAGACAGCTTTAATTATACTTAATTCTTATTCCAGTTCTTAATGCTAGAGAAGAGAGTCTGAACTGTTCATAGGAAATTGTGTGGGATCTCTATGGATTATGGCAGTGATATTTGGGGCAGGCCTGGGCTGTCTTTAGGGGCTAGAAGTCAAGAAGTTCTTTACTAATTTGACAGTATTTTCTATCACTGAGGACCCCATATGTCAGATAAGGGTTAGATTAATGCCACCCATACAGAATTTTTCCATTTGGAAACCTCATCTCAGTATCTAACTATATCTGGCATTGGCAAGTTTTTGCACGCAAGGGCTACCTTCAGCACCATTTTTGGTCCTCTAAAGACTGCAGAGGATTTATTTCTTTATTTCTTTATTAAATTTATATGCTGCCCCTCTCCGGAGACTCAGGATGTATGCAGGGATGTATGCAGGGATGTTACCAAGAGCCAAAATAAGTAGGGCACTTTTTATCTATTTGGAGGGGAGCATCAAGGAACAAAATAAGTATGTTAAGATTCACAGGGATTAAAATAATCCTTTTTTTTTCTTAAAAGGAAAAAAAAAGTGTAATTTGGGATGAAGCTGACTTTGTCACAGAAAACTGTGGCAATTTTTTATCTTCTGAAAACTCCAAGAGTGAAGAGTTTTCTTAATTTCTTACTCCTGCATTTCCCTCTTCTGTTATAGCAGTTTAGGATCTCAGCAAGTAGAAAGAATGGTGGCAATGACTTTTGTCAGTTGCTGGTTAGCTCATGTAGCAAACCATAAGATGGGTAAATTCTGAAACCGAGCAGTGCTTCGGATTTAGTTCCAAAATGGTGCTTTGGAATGTGTCAGAGTGCAAGGGCTCTGTGATTGTACTTATTGTGCCAATATCTCATATTGTTTTGTGAAACAAAGGGCTTTTGCTGCATAAAATATTATCAAACAGCCTGTGACAAGCAGCAGAAAACAATATCAGCGTAACATCTGCTGCCTTTACTTCAAATTCCTATTCCGCTTATTCTGCTCTGCCATCAAATAGTGGAGTCTTCATTTGAAGGGTTCAGGGCATTTTAAGGGAAGGCATTTCCCTGATTTTATTTCCTTTCCTGCCTGCAAAGCATTACTGACTGCGCACCCATCAATCATTTCCCTTCATGTAGAATAGGGCTGGAGTAGGGCAAGAGACAAGTTTTGACAGATAGGTAGGCCGATGGGTTTAGCCATCTGTCAGTCTCACTCCTCACTTTGTACAAATGTTTTGTGTGGGTGAATTCAAAGAGAGCCAGACTAACAGCTGATCAGCATAGGTGGGAGAAATTGCACAGTGAAGCAGTAAAGCCTTTCCACGGTACTCGACTTATTCTTTATTTAGAGCCATACCTCGAGGCCATAAATTAGCTTGGAGATCTGGTTGATACTGGGAAGAGCCCAGTTTGCAAGAGCTAGACATCACCCTGAGATTAATTCAGGTCTCTATCAGCTTCAAATCTACTAGGTATGAGCTTCCAATCCTATGACTTGTGCTGTTGAAGTGTTTTGATTTTAATTGGGTAATCTTTCTTCAACTACTGTTTGAATGTCCAAGACAGTAGTAAGTAGCAGTAGCTGAGGTTCTACCTTTTACTTTGTTCTCAAATTTGATACTCAACTCTACAAGGTGAGGAACTTTCAGTGTATGGGCCAAATGAGCCATTCAGTTGTGGCTGAGCTCATTTCTCTAGATCAGATTTTTTTTACCTATATTCTTCATCCAGGTGCAAAATTTCTATATTTGGGAGAGAGGTTGTTGGTTGATATAAAGCCAATTCTCACACAGACATAACAACATTGGGCTTCTTTGTCTTTTAACACTGTTTTAATAGTATCACAAATATAGAACATGTTAAGAATATCTAATGAGATATTCTTAAAAATGTACCTTTGTGAATCAGATGAATGTATATCATACAAATTCAGTTGCTAAAATGCTTAGTAATTTGCCATTGCCTCTTTTGTAGGGCTGAGAGACAGTCGATCTCCCAAGGTCACTCAGCTGGCTTTGTGCCTAAGGTAGGACCAGAACTCACAATCTCCTGGTTTCTGGTCTGATGCTCTAACCACTACACCAAACTAGCGCTCACTGAAAGTAATGAAAAGTAATGAAAAGGTCACACATTTTTTATCAGTGAATAAGTTGCAAATCTAGGTCTGTTGGTCTGCAGTATTGAGAGAAGATCAGAATAATTTTTAGTTTGTTTTTAATAAGTGAGTATTGTGGAAAATAATTTATTGTGACATTATCTAATTGGGCCTTCTAGTCCTTTTGATAAATGTCCTTTGTCTCTTTTTCTACAGTATAGCATCAGGATACCCTTCTTCTTTCTGCAAAAGTTGGATCATTCCACAAACTGGATATAATTAACCAAAAGGAGTTTGAGTTTTGGAAATTCTCTAACCTCTAATATATATATATATCCAAAGGCAGCATGCTGTGATGGGGATCTTGTGAGTTTAGTTTGCCTGCCATGCACCCCACAGGGAGTGTAGATACCAGTTTTTCCCGTACGGCTGTGCAAACACTGTCCCGTAGCCACTGCCGGAACATAAAGCAAAAGATTTCTCAGTGGGAAGGTCGGACAAAAGGAGTCTGCCAAGAAGAAAGGCAGAAACTAAAGGATTTTGGGGTTAGATATGGCCTCGACAGCAGGGAAAAGCCATCAGCTCCTGCACCTGACAAGAGTATAGAAGCAAATGTTCAGCGTTTAGGTTTAGATTTCTGGGAAAACTCTAATCTTGGCTCTGTGACGGAGGAGGAAGAGGAGGAGGACGACCACCACTTCCAAGAGATTTCCAGAAACCATTCAGTGGAGCAACTTTCTAATGACACTTTATCCGAAGCAGCAGATGCTACAGAATGGCCACGGGAGAGACTGCCCCCTGGCAATTTCTACACCTCACGGGGCCTATGGAAACAGATGGAAACTCTTCCTTTTGATGAAGAAGCTTCTGTTGCACTGGACTTAAAAAGGAAACGGGAAAGCTGTGGTTCGACAGAGAAGGAGCTGAATGTAGCTCCAGCAAAGAGCCTGGAGACAATATATTGTGATGTAGAAGGTCAGGAAAGGCAGCCGGCCATCAACCCAGTGCCCAAACCGCAGAGGACTTTCCGTTACCATTCTGAGAAGGACCAGGCAAACTTTGGTAATGGATACCACAGCAATAAGAAGCCACTGGAACAGCTGTGTAATGGGAGCTATACTGCAACTGCCTCCTGTGAATCTGACTGCAGAACAGGCAGCAGAGGAATCCGAGGCAGATCTAAGAGGTGGGTTGCAGCTTGACCTCTTCTGTAGGGAATGAATCTAATTTCCTCTGTTTGTTACAAGCAGTTATTAAGACTGCAACGTTCTGGAGCAGTAAGTCATTTGTGGAGAAAATCTATGTAAGTATGTATGTGATGCTCTATATGGGGTTGCCCTTGAAGTAACCAGAATACAGCAGTGTGGACAGCCTTGGTATGCCCATGTAACATTTCTGCTTCATGAGCTGCACTGGTTATCAATTTGCTTCCAGGTATGATTGAAGGTGCTGGTCGCTATCTATAAGAGCTACATGGCAAACATCCTGGTTACTTGAGGAACCACCCATTGTATCCCATTGTATCTGTCCAGCTGGTTTGATCTGGCTGGATTGGGATGTTGTGGGTTCTATTGATTAAACAATATCATCTTTCAGGACCCCAGAAGTCTGCCTTCTCTATTGCAGTGCCTGCTCTCTGGAATGAGCCCTCCCCAAAGAGTTTTGACTGCTCCCCCCACTCTATTGCCATTTTGAAGGGCCCTGAAGGCTCTTTGTCCAGAACTTTGGCAAGATGATGGACACCATTTTTCTCCCTTTTTCTTGTTCCCATCTGGGTTTGTTTTCTCTGCCATGTTTGATTATTTGTTTTGCGTTTCTTGTATTTTTACTTGTTTTTAAATGGTTTTAACAATTTGCAAACTGTCCAGTATCACTGAATTACCATCATCATCATTATTTTATTGCTAAGAATCAACACTGGCTTGATAGTGCACATAATCAGTCAATCAGTCAGTCATCTACTTGGGGTCATTTTTCCTCATATAAACATTAACTAGGAACCTTGCATAATTCTTGAGAAAACAAAACATTTTTCCATTTAGAAAATTGCTTCCATTTAATTACATAATTTTGTTCATTTGAGTGGAGCACATGAATGAAGAAAATGTTAAATATTTTTTGCTGTAGTTGGAAAACTGTTTTCCTAGCATTCATCCTTGTAGGTACTTTATAGGATGTGCCTTTATTTTTTGACCTTTGGCATGCAAAGTGTTGCATTAAAATAGAATTTCAGCCTTGAAAATGAAAACATTGCATTTGTTGCTATGTAAGAGGAAGCTATGTGACCATAAACTTAGACTAAAAATGGGTAGGCAGTCCCTGATATGACTGTGTTCGAAAGATAAACACATTTACATATGTCATATTCAGCATTAATGCATGATGAGGATTATCCTGGTGCAGAAATTTATTTTAAAGTGGGATATTTATAGTTTATTAGTGTGTATGGAAGTTGGCATGAAAAGCCAACATCTTGCATAAATTGCAGATGTATTTCACATTTTTGATCATGTGAAATGAAGGATGATGGAAACGCTATCACTGATACAGTTCGTATCATGCACGAAGAGCTATTCCCCTATGTTGAATTAAAGTGCTGTCTGTTGATCCTTTAAGTTAGCAGAAAATTATACTGACATGATATTTTCTGCCCCTATTGTCTCTGTTGCCCACAGTGCTGTCTTGGTTATGCATATGCAGTGTGTGATAGGAAAAAAGATCGACTGATTCCTCTGACTTTCCTCTCTTTCCTTTTTTGCATTTCATCAACCAGCCAAAAAAAAAGACGAAACAGCCAGTTACAAGTGTTGCAATGAGAATGACTCTAGGCTTATCCCTGTCCTCCTTCTCCTTTACCTTAATCTGTCATAATCTAAATGAAATTAAATCAATTCAATTACATTATATTAAATATAAAAACAGGTAGCCTTCATCTTACAATCAAATTGGGACTGGAAATCTGGTTGTAAATTATTTTGGTCATAAATCCAGGCGCACATATGACTAAACACAGGTTTTTGACATTTTTGGCAGTGGTTGTCTTCTGAATGGACTTTTTTTTTTGCCAGAATCCAACAAAATCCGTCACAAACTGGCAGAAATCATGTGGCTGCAGGGTGCTGCAACTGGCCATAGTGGCAATTCAGTTACCAAGCACCCAAAATGCAGTCACTTTATCATGGGGAGCACCATTTTACAATAGCCAGAAGTACTTTACAGGCCATAAAGCACAGTTTTCGAGATCATCATAACTGTAAACTGTTATAAAATAACCGGTTGAGAATTACCCTGTACTCATGGAGACATAAAGTAGCAGAGTATAACCAGTGGTTTTACATAGGATATACCAGTATCTCCCATTCATTATTTATTTACAGGCAACAAATTCTGATTTTCAGATTCTCTCATGTGTTGTCTTTGGAGAGAATGATACTACGGGGTTGGTCCTATCATTTCAGTTTTGCTGTTTCAGTCCTGCATTAAAATGATATGGAATATAGACCTAACACACTTATAATATTGCTGCAGTACTATTATTTGATTGTCGACCAAAATCTAGGGGACACCAGATTCAAGAGACCACTGTACTACTGTGGTATCTAAGTTCTCTTCTTTTTCCTTAGAAGAATAAATATAAAACCAAATAAAAATTCGGTGTGTTTTACAGTATTGTAACTCTCCAATTTCTGTGATTTGCAAGCTATATCTTATGGTTTCTATTATGTAACTGAAGCACTTTTAGGTGTGGTTTGGTTAAATAAACTGCTTTAGTATCAAGTCAAATTATCTTTGATGGCTCCTTTGCCTCTTTTGTTCTATATTGCTGGTGGAAGATTGAGAAAGACAGATTTTCCAAAATTGTGCACATAATTTTAATTTCTAAAACATTCCAAGAACAATTTTGTATATACACATTATTTATATACATATTATTATTTTATATATATATAGATAAGTATATTTTTAAAATTCATCCATTCCTAGGTAGCTCGCTTTAAAAAAAAGCTAGGAGGGAAATAGCTGCGCTTGGTTTTGTACCTAAGATGTGTGATAACATATCCTATTCTTATTTATAGAAAGTCCTTTGAATTTGAGGACATCCAAAGTTATCGAAACAGACTAGCAGCCATCGAATACCAAAAGCTTCATGAAGAGCTAAATGGCACCACACGCGTCTGTCTCTATTGCACGCAGTCAGAGGACAACCTCTATGAAGATATTACTGGTAAGATTCCAGATCTATCTAAAAGAAACAAGAAACAGCCTTCTGAATGAAAAGTAACTGCTACAGTTCAGTTCTAGAGAATTCCAGAATACATATTCTGATCTTCTGTGCAGATATGTTCAAGGATATATCCCAGTTCCTCCACTGGGAAGCTAGAAATTAAAGACAGTAACTTGGGGATTTGCTTTGATTCCTCTATTTGTCACTCGCTGGGTAATAACTTGATGCCAGTTTGTGCCTATGGAAAAATAGTAATTGGCAAGTATATGTGGTTGATTTGTCTACCCATGCTCTGCTTCAAAATAATTCTTTTTTCTAGATCCTGCAAAAGAGAATCCCTATGAGGACATTAAAGTGAAGCCTTTGTGGAGGATCCCATCTAATTGGAAACTGCCTCCTCCCCGAAATACCTTCAAGCCACCCAAGGTGAATGCACATTTAGTGATTGTCCTCTCTAGTTAAATATTGGGCTTTGTGCCTGTGCTACCCAGGGATTAGGCATTATCGTGCAGAAATATGAACAAAATGAAGATATTTGTCTACATTGCTCTGTGATTATAAATAAGTAGATGCCTCGTTGTTATGCCTTGTCTTTATTCTCACGTGAATCATCACATTGCAGTTGTTCATTGAAGAACATAGAGATATGTAAACTCACTTTTAAGAGAATGGATGCCCATGAAGCTGATTTAACTTTGTTTGGTCTCTATTTAATCTGAAGACGATACTTTGCCCTCCCATGCACAGAACCAAACCAAACCAAAAAAGGAATAAAAAGAGAAAATTGTATAGTATTTGTACAGTTGTGTTTGGGCATAGGTTTTCCTTTTCAGGAATGGATTCATATGGATGTGGTCCAAACCAAATGCTAGTGTAGCTTGCCATTTGTTCAACTAACCAACCATTTCTTTTCTCTGTCATGCTGTTAGGATAATACAATTCGTGGGTGTTCCTCTACTTCCTTGCTTTGAAGCTGAGTCAATCATTTCTTTAGTCCCACCTCCTACTGCGCATCCCCAGTTTTGACTCAGCTTTCATGCAAGAAGAAGCAAGGAGAGGTGCTCCAGAAGGAAAGAATTAGATGTTATGTGCTTTTTTAGATGGCTGCCAAAATCAGGTTAATATCTCTTACCTACCTACTACTTACCAAAGGTACTTATAATAATAACTTCAAAATGTTCCATCCCAATTAACTTTTCATACTTGGCACAGGTAGTCCTTGACTTACAATAACTAATTTAGTGACTGTTCAAAATTACAACATTATTGAAAAAAGTGACTTATGACCATTTCTCACACTTACGACCGTTGTAGCATCCCCATGGTCACGTGATCATAATTCAGACTGTTGACAACTGTGTCACGTTTATGACGGTTGCAGTGTCTGAGATCTGATTACCTTTTGTGATCTTCTGACAAACAAAGTCAGTGGATAAACCAGATTCACTTAACAACTGTGTTACTAATTTAACAACTGCAATAACTCACTTAACAATTGTGGCAAGAAAGGTTGTAAAATGGGGCAAAACTCACTTAACAAATGTCTCACTTAGCAACATAAATTCTGGGCTCAATTGTGGTCGTAAGTCGAGGACTACCTGTAGTGAATTGAAGACTGGGAGTAGATTGCATATCACTGGTCGTTTGGGAAAAAGGAGATGTTTCCCTGGCAGATGAAATTATAATAGCTACTATTGTTAGTGACTATTTTTCTATATCAGACCTGTCAAACTGGTGGCCCTTGGGCTGGATGCGTCACGCACAGGCCATGCCCACCCCAGCTCTGCAAAGGCAAAAAATGTCACAATATGTCACGATACATCACGTGACAGGATCGACTTTGACACCCATGTTCTATACTGTTCTGAAAAAGGAATGAACCATGTGTTAATTTATAGGTGTTTAACGAAGTACTGACAGCTGCCATTTAAAAGGAAGAACTATTTTAAGGCAAAAACCATTTTGCACAAAGGGAAACATGGGGGTATGAATTGTTCTTATGCAACTGCTTACCCTAACGCCAATATTAATCTATTTTTCTTCATGTAATTTAAATCAAGATCTTTTGAGTAGTTATTTATTTATTTAAAAAATTACATGGCCTCCTAACTCACTCTCAGCAACTCCAGGCAGCTTACAAGGTTTAACCCCAAAGCTGATTGTTGTTTTGTTTCTTTGTGTGATTTAGTTATTTTTTAGGCGTAATCAAGTTGGTTTTAATTCAGAGTGATTGCATGAACCATCCTGCCCTATCTGCAATAATAACGTGTAATTCTCCCTGGGACATTCCTGTAGCTTGTTTGATCTTGTCCATCAATCTAGCCTGTTGTCTTCTTTCAACCTGCCAAGCATACAAACTTTTTAAATCAATCCTTCACTTGTCTCACATGTCCAATGTTCTTTAGTTTTTGCTTCTTGCCTAAAGAGGAGCAATCAGCTTTTATTTAATCCAAGACTGACTGACTACAGTCTATGGTACTTTTAATTAGCAATATAATACAATTGTCCTATTTTTACAGGACAGATTAGCAATGGAAAAACTGCTGCAGAAGAAAAAAGCCTTGAATTTAAACTCTGTAGCATAAGCCTATATAAAGACTTAACTGACTGTGCTCCTCAATGGGTAGAGCTATTGTACATCAAACATACATACATACATACATACATGCATAGATTCATACTGGTTTCACCCAACCATTCCTAATGTACGCTTACTGTGTAAATTATACAGATATGGGAAAATATGTAAACATATCGCACTGTTTTACTTATTCTGAACTACTGTGTTTTCCTCTAAATTAATTCTTAGAGCAGCTTCTTGCTCATCAGGAAGTTCCTTCTGATTATTATTTCTGTTAATTCTTCTGTTATTTCTCTGAAAGAAAAACTGGTATGATTGGGCAGAGTGGGCATCCCCCAGGTTCCCCTTATTAAGCAGTGCCATCTGGTGGGACCTAGGAAGTGTGGCTTGTCTGTAACAGCACCTGTTGTTTGCAATCACCTCAGCCATCTCAAGATGCATTTGACCTCCGAACTTGCCTGTGTTTAAAACTTAGTCTTCCCTCTGGCCTTGGGTTGAATGAGGGGTGGGTCTTTTTTTGTTTTTGGCTAAGAAGGGTTCCTCCCCCCCCAAGACTTTGTAGTTTCTACCTGTGTCAACTGTATTTTGTTTTATTGTGCACTGCCCAGAGTTATGTTACGAAAAGTGACATAAAATAATTCTTCCTCTATTTAAATGTGTATCTATTAATGTTAACATATTCTACATTATGGCATTATCTCCATAAGATCTCTCTCCATGTATTTTAATAGTGAAATCTTAAACAAAATGTGGTGAAAATTGGCTCAATAATTTGTTACTGTTACTATTACTGCTGCTTTCTAATCTGCACTTTGTGTTGTTCCATATTTGTTGACATGGATTTATTTGAACTTCAACTGTCTCTTTGTCTTTAGCTTTAAACGGTTCAGTAGATATTTCATCTGCACCTGGTACTTTCTTATTAACAGCAGATCTGTTGCCAGTCGTGTCTCATTCTCTTGTAGAATTGGTTCCTGAATGTATTTTGTTTTTACAGATATTCCTGTCAATCTATAATATTACTTGTAAAATATTTTGATATTTATGTATTTAAAATATTTCTATACTACTTTGTTTTGAAATGAAATCTATGAAATCTCTTTTTTCACTATTCTTGAATGGCCCAACACTAACTATAAATTTTCTGATGATTTTTAATTAGATTCCTCATTTCCTTTTCTTGTTACCTTGTGCTCTTTGTTGACATTTTTGATTAATATAGCGTTCCGTGCCCTTTCTTGCCTGATGTTGAAATTTGTTGACATATATCCTCCTTGTTGTTTAAGGCAATATCCTCCTCCTTCTTTTGATGATTGCTTGTGCTAAAATCAGCCCCTATTTTCCTGTGTTGAAATTTTGGATTTTTTTCTAGTTTATCTTTCCTTTAGTCTCTTATATCTTCCTATAGAATAGATCTTCATATGAAGTACTGTATAGATTATGTCTTCCTATAGACATACTATATATATATTGCTTATATTAAAATCTGATTATGTATTCTTCATTTGCTCTTTTTAATTTAATTTTTTATGTTTAGCCTATGTAAAAGATACCTTTTCAAGTCCACCTCTTGATGATTGTATCTATGCAAGTTTTTTTTACTTTTTAATCTAATCAACAGAACTAGTAATTCTGATAATTTCCCATCTAAATACTAATCAGGCCCCATCATGCTTAGTTTATGAAGTCAGCTACATACCTCTATCTGCTGAGGTTGAAACTGATACATTTGACTCTAGTAATTTCCTATGTTCCACAGTAATATCTCTTTTTACATGAAAAAGCTAGAAAGAAGAAGCTGCAAGGAATGGTGACCTCTGTGGGATTTCTTATCTTGAACAATCCTAAATTTCTCTGTGATTTATAATCTGGTCCAGTGGTTGATGGCCATGATGGATATAATGATTAATTCATTCCTGGAAGCTACATCTCTCTTTTCTTTCTCTCTTTTGATTCTAAGTAGAATTCATGGGGAAAGGGAAGATTGGGACTGTGGTGGGAGGATTTCACTTTTTCCCTTATTGCACAGTTCAAACGAAGAGCTGTTGTATCTATTAGTCTCATTGTTACTATACATTGATTCCCTAGAGCAGGGGTGTCAAACTCAAGGTCCAGGGGCTTGATCCGGCCGGTGGGGTGCTTAGATCTGACCCATGGGGCTACCCTGGAAACAAAGAAAGACCGGCTTGCGGTGCCTCTGCCATCGAAAATGGCGCTCAGGAGGACCACATGTTGCCTTCCTGAGCTCCGTTTTCCCTGGCAGAGGGTTACAGGCTATTGCAGGTGAAAATGGAGTTCATGAGGGCTGTGTGTGGCCCTTCTGGGCTCCATTTTCACTGGCAGAGTGTTGCAGGAGGCATCACAACTGGAAAAGGAGCTTGGCCGCCCATTTTTTCTGGCAGAGTGCTCGGGCCACCAAACTTTTAGACCTTGCTGCTTTCACTCTTCTAAAAACCAAGCCACCTTTTTGCGTGGTGGGATGTATTGTTTTTGAGTCTGTATCTGTTTATATCAAGTTCAGTGGGCATTGCTTTCTTTATAAAACATTAGCATTCTTTTCATATTTCTTTAGCTTCTCCACAAGCCGCACTTCTTTCACCGTAAAACCTTGGAGCTAAAAAACACACGGATCTGTTTGCGTGGGAAGTTGCCAAAAGATTCAACGCTACCTGTTACGTTGACCGAATGGAAGTTCTTCAAAGCAGGAGATGCTGGAAGCAGGAAGAGAAAAAATCTTCCCCGGGTAAGGACTGAGCCAAAATATTAATAATTAGTTGCTAGGCAAATACTATCTTCTGTTGCCATTTCCTCTCCCTATCTCCTTCTGTACCACAGCCTTTGGTGGGGTCATTCCTGTCATTTTTAATGAAAAGTGATTGCTTTCTTAAATAATTCTGTATTGCATCATTTGAATGTGAGAGTTGTTGGTAATATCAGATGATCAGATGTTATTATAGTTCTTAACTGTGTTAATTGTACTTGCTACCCAGAGTCACAAAGATGAGAAGGGTGGCTGTATAAATTTAATAGAGACATAGCTACACTGATCTTTCTGAATTGGGTGTCCCCAGTTGAGTGGCATAGTAATTCTTAGAATTCCTTATCTGGCCATCATTCAAGCTAGCTGAATTTTGGGAGCTACCATCACACTACATGGGAGCTTGGGAACTGCTGTCACACTATATCCAGAAGGTCTTGCAATTACAGTGGATTGTTATTTCAAATGTTTTCAATCTGAATTCAAAATAATCCTAATAAAATAAATATTCAGTATACAATATTACATAAAAAGACCTGAGTAGGGAAATAACTGAAATATATCTTTAAAAAGTTATCTTGACATCCTGTCCTGCTACATTTAGATTACCATGCAGGTTTGCTAAGAAGATGTCACCAGCAATATTGGGCAATATGTAGTTAAGACACAGTTAAGTTCCCATTTACACCAGGAGTAACTCAGGCACACACCCTCCTATTAAAAATAGGAAGATGAGTTCCTGACTAAGACTGCTTAAAGTGACCTTGAGTTCATTTTATTTTGCCTGGACTTCTTTCCCTGGGGTTGCTTACTCCTGATTCAGGATTTAACTTTCAACTGTTCTGTACTTTAAATGCTTTTGAGCAGCTCATTAAAGATGAGGCTGTTATATAAAATGTCAGTGTAATTTCCTGATGTGCTTCTGAATGAATGATTAGCAGAGATGTGCAAGTAAGGTGAACATAGAAAAACTGACAAGCATCAGTTATCATATAGAGTTGTATAGATTTGGATCAGTCTGTAACGACTGTAAATCAATAAATACTGCCTGTTCATTGAAGAAATTGGAATCTTTTACAATTAGGTTTTTTTTAATCAATCTTAGTAATTTAGTAATTTTTAATAATCTACATATGCATTGTCTTCTAAGGAATCTCACAATCATGAAATATTGCAAAGGAAAAGAACTGCAGATCAGACATCATGTTTACTTAAGAATTTGAGCAAAAGAAGGTCCCATTTCTGGTTACTCAAAGCCAGAAGGCAAAAAGAGTCACATTGTTAGTTAGAATTTATTTCCATTATGATGGAGGGAATAGGTGGACAGAAGGAAAGCCAGCACATATGCAGATCAAATTTGCCCTCTTTCTAAGTATTGCATATCAATATTGTGTAGAACATACAAAAATGATTAATTGACCCACAAAGGATGATTAAAAAGTCCCATATGAGCATTATTCCTCAGACAAAATGATCGCCCCAACCACATTCAGAAATATGAGAGTAATTTACTGAGAGAGGAAGTGCATGTTATTCTCTCATCCTGAACTCATAGGACTTGGCCATGATTGCTGGAAGAATGCCCGAGTAAGCCAAACATTCTTATTCAATTCCAGCATGGAAAATAATGTATTCTCTAGCATTTTGACATCATGCATTCAGCTCTCAGCATTTTCTAGTCATTCTTGAAGCCATTACAAATATTGCAGGCACCAGACTTTGCAAGAGTCAGCTTAAAACTTGTGCATTAGGAATGCACATTTCCAAAGTCTCTGTCATGTACATGTATTCCAGAAAGCATTAGTCGCAGCTCCATGATATTCTTTTACATGGTACCATACATTTCTAAGTCCTTTTCATTTTTTCATGTTTGACATCCAAAATCTGAAGACGCTCTTAAACCAACCATTTAAACCAGGGCTGGGAAAATTTCGGAGGAATGGAAAAGAAGCTGAAGGAAAGAATGGAAGACCTGCAGAATTTCTTGCATAGGTGCAGACCTTTCCTGAAGTCAAATTGTATCGCCTTTGCCCTGAGTAGCAGACTGGATCTCTGAAATTCTTTTTTCCCCCTTTTTCCTCTATTTAGGTTGCTATAGTTAAGAAAAGAGTTGGAACTAAGAATAGTTTACCTACTAACTGTCTTCTGTCTCTCTGTATGACTTGCGGTGAAGGGAATAACTAGACCCCACCCTGTTGCCTTTGCTTTGGAATGCTGAATGCATTCTTGAAGCCGGGCAAGAGTGAACTTGGCCTGCATGCCATTGTCTAAAATAGCAAGAGCAGGAGCTGAGATCGTCAGCAAAGTTTGACTAGACATGCTGTGGCGAAGATCTTTCTGTCTTCTGCCTATGGCCTGAGACACTTGACACCACATGATGCTTGATGGGTTGGGCAGTTACCACCACCACAGTTGGAAATGGTAGAAACCAACTATCCAAGAAAAAGTGTACCTAAGAATTATGCTCTAACAGTTTGTTTTTTACAAACTGCAGTATCTAGCTATTCTTGGCTGATCACAGAAGCTAAGCAGGCTTGGTCCTAGTTGGTAAATGGGAAATTGCCTGGCAGTTCTAGGCTGCTATCTAGATAGAAAGTTAACAAAGGTCCTGGAAAAAAAACTAGTGGTAAATCACTTCCATAATGTTTGCAAGAAAATGATGTAGATGCAAGACCAAGCTGAACACAATTGCATCTTTATTTCAAACTATGCCTGCACCAAAAAAATAAAATGAAACAAAACAAAACCCTGTAATGCTTGGAGATAGAGCATTCACCGCATAGCACCAGTGAACCTATCTGCATTCATGTTTTGTTCAACTCAGCTTTCATTATGGATTAGAATATTTTTGGTATCCAGATTAAAGCTCATTCTATATTACTAGCACTATGCAGATGACAATAATCTTTTCTGTTTGGGGCATTTGTGTTTCCATCAGTTCTTCTATTATAGTTCTGCTAAATTCTGTAGTGTTTTCTAATATTAGCCCATGTATACAAATGCAGTTTTTCTTTTTCTGAAACTTATCATCCCTTTTGATGATTTCTTTCTTATTGGGTTTCAGCTTGTATTAAAGATACAAGAGATCTTTGATTCCAGACGAGGAAAGAAACGTGTGAAGTTGGTCGTACAAACTGGAAAAGAACTTTCTCCAGCCAGAGGTATAAATCCTGGGCAGTTTTTCTAGTCAATTCATTATTTATTTGTTTTTTTATTTTTATTTTATTTTATTTATTTTATTTTATTACTTTATTTTATTTTATTTATTATTTAATTATTTATTTTTTGGCCATCCATCTTACCACAGGATAACTCTGGGTGTCTTACAGTATTAAAAAATAAAACTATATAAAACCTACACAGCATATAAAACCTATACGGAATAAAATACTATGAAAATATAAAAATTCCACCCTAACTAAAAGATGGGAAGGGCGGGAGCAGGATGGGGGTGGGGGGAAGTGGAATTCCTGTTAATCAATCAACCACCTCCACTGTGATGCTCTCCCACTGGAGTCCCAAGCCAACTGTCCAAGCCAGGTCTTAAATTCTTGCAGAAGGTCAGCAGGGTTGGAGCCGACCTCAATACAAGGGACAAGAGGTTCCAAAGGGCAAGAGCGACAGCAGAGAAAGTTCTTTTTCTGGACCCTGCCAGCTGGAACACCCTGGCTGATTGGGCCCGCAGCATCCCTCCTTTGCTGGCATGGGTGGAGTGGACCAGTCCCATTGGAATGAGACCTTTCCAATTAAACCTGGATTTAATTATGTTAATTCTGAGAATTCCCTTGAGAAATATTGTGATCTGTGATTTCTCTTTTTTATCCTGTTGCCCCTTTAGGATGGTATAGAATTTTTGTTGCTAAAACGAGAAGAGCAAGATTGTAGTATTTTCTGTGGGTGTATATATCTTATCAATAGTCCTTCCTGTTTCAGATGGCTTTCCTCTTCCACATGTGCTGAAATACAAGCTAGAGCCAACGGCTGTTTGTGTAATCTACATTTTGCAAATCAATGATGCCTACTTGCCTAGTAATGTTAAACAATTGATGGTGATGCATCTTCCCTCAGTCCTTTGCATTGCATAATGGAGAAGGTGCCGCCACAGAATTGTATAATGAGCTTGACTTGCTTTATTTAACACCTGACACATATGTAGATATGCTTTTGAATAGATGCCTTTGCTGTTCATACAATTGTTCCCAAATTTCAGGAACATAATTGATTGTTGCTTTGTCAGATTGCTTCCAACAGTTCCAGTTCTGCCCAGTTGACAAAATCTGAGGGAAACTTTTTGTCATTTCAGGTGAAACCAGTGGATATGAGAGTGAACCAGAGAATCTGCCGAAAAGTGAGTGAGTGAGTGAATCACTGTCCCTAAGACAGGTCAAGTGGCATAATTATACCTTGCAGATAACTGTTGAGAGTGTCTATGTTCTATGCAAATTCTACCTAGTCAGTGAAGTACTTTGGGACTGAGTTCTATTTGAATAATTGGAATGGTAACTATTTGCTGGACAGAATGGATGCATTATGATCATTTAAAGGCTTGTAAGGCTCCATTTTAGAAATCCATTAAGAACTGGGATGATTGAGAGAGAAGGAATAGATGGATTTAGAACTCGGGATAATAGCAATAGCACTTAGACTTATATACCGCTTCACAATGCTTTACAGCCCTCTCTAAGCAATTTACAGAGTGAGCATATTGCCCCCAACAATCTGGGTCCTCATTTTACCGACTTTGGAAGGAAGGATGGAAGGCTGAGTCAACCTTGAGTCGATGAGTTTCAAACTGCCAAATTGCAAGCAGCCGACAGTCAGCAGAAGTAGCCTGCAGTTCTGCATTCTAACCACTGCACCACCACGGCACTTTTAAGCTATGATCTCCTAGAGTCCCTCAGGAATTTAATGACAGTTGCCTTGAGAAGGAAATCAGTCGGGGAAAGTCTTTCTTGAAAGACAGTCTGTTTATCATTCTTAATTTTTAGCTGCAATGTAACAGCAAATTGTTATTATGTAAGTCAGTAGCAAAGGATTATGGTTACTTTGCATATATCTAATAGCACTTGTAGTAGTGTAGTAGTATTTTCATTTAGAACATATTTGAACCCCTGAAAGGCTTATGTAGTGTAGTAATGAAGGAGTTGGACTAGGAGTGGTGCATCCTGGTTCTACAAACTTCCTGATGGCCTTGGGCAGGTCACTATCTCTCAACCCAATTTACCTCACAACATTGTTGTGGAAAAATAGGATGAAGGAGTATTATATGGACTGCCTTGGGTTCCCGTATAATATTGGCAGAGTATAAATTTATTAAATAAATAATTAAATGGTACTAAAAAAAACAAGAAAATGCCAAGAGATCTTCTTTGATGGGAAACTTTGTAAAGCCATTTTTCAGTTCCCTAAGAGAAGGGACACACAGTTATCTCAAAGTCTGAAAGGTGGATTTCAGAAAAGGAGAGCATGTTGCAGTGCCTATCTGGTTCTGCCAAGAAGTGGATAAATATAAGTGGTAAGTGTGATTTGTCTGCAGTGTTTTTTGTGATATTCTACCAAAGCCTGCAACAGCGACACAAAATGTAACATCGCTTTGTTATGACTACTGTGATTCTTGATGTTGGCCCGTGTAATGGTATGTGGTAATGACCCTGGGAGACAAGGCAGAGAGCTGCAGACTAGACATCTATCATGCAAAAGGTATCACACTCCACAGAAGCAGAGGAGGTGTGGGAAATGTTTCAGAAGAGATCCTCCCTACTTTTCCAGAGAGTAAAAAGGAGACGAGGGGAGAAATGCTTTCGCTCTTGCAAGATTTTCTTAATGTAACCTTATGGTAAAGGTAAAGCCAGGCTTCTTTGTTGTGCTTCTTGCATGGGCTACCTCGAAAGTCTTAACAGCACAGCACAACTGCACTTGCTGCTTCCAGTAGGCTTCTCACCATTCCCCTTAAGTCACAGGTGTTAAACTCGCCACATCATGTTGGCGTCATGTCACATTTCGTGACATTTTCCCCCTTATTGGAGCTGGGCTGGGCGTGGCCTGTGCATGACGCTTCCAGCCCATGGGCTGCCAGTTTGACACCCCTGCCTTAAGTATTTCAGACAGCTTGCAACTGCTTGTGACCCCCACCTCTGATGCCCCATAGTTGGCAGCAGTGGCTAGTTTCTGCAAAGAGTATGGGAACAAGCAACTGCATGGCCACAGTGCTGAAGGAAAGTTAAACAAGGATGATTCTTGAATGCAGATTTGGACTTTGGATTTGTAAAAGAGAAAGCATGTAAAATGGATAGGCAACAAGTTCTCAGGATAGTTGTGTCTTTTGTTCAAGGTGAAGGAAAATAAATTGCCCAGGAAGGAAAGGATTACCTGGCAAGAACCATGCCGTTTCATTGGGCTGTAATTAGAGGCCCTCTTTATTTTATAATGCCATAAACATAATAATAATGAATTGAAAACAACTTGGCACATAATAATCATCTGCTTCCGGGTCAAGTGTTTTCCCTTTTGATCATTTCCAGTGCTTCCTCTTGAGAACTTTTTTTCCCCTTTCACTGAAGCTAAAGAAGCCCAGTCATGTCTCTGTCTGTCTCTTGCAATATTGTGAAACGCCCTTCGCTGGGAAAAAGGAGTAACTGGAGTGAAATTATATATAACGCTTGGCCCTTGCATGTAAACACTGGAGGAAGAACAACTAGAGCAGCAGGCTCCAAACTGGCTCTGCATCGTGACTCATCTGTCCTAATTGGCACCAATGGCCCTGGACACACCAGCATTTCCTGTTCACCATGCCTGGAAATTGTCAGAATTAAGCTTTGCATATAGCTTAACACAGCAATTCCCTGATAATAATAAAGGCATAGTGCCAAGCAAGCCGTGATTATTTTCCTCACTTCCTTCCTTCAACAGTTTTGTGAAGGTGGTCAGATCAGCATTTTCTCTAGAGAGAGGGAGACACTTAACATGTAGCTATTTATTTGGTGTCCTTGTAGTCTCCGCCACTGCAATTTTCATCACTTTCGCAGTGCTTCTTAAAGCATTATGTGCATTTAGAATGAATGGCTTGCTGTTACTGTACCACAATAGAGATCAAGAAGTCTGTTTGGAAGTTAGGCTTTGTGGCTTGTTAATTTAATATGAGTTTATTTGTATGTTTTTTTATTGGACGGTTAGGGTGTTATTGCTACCCACATTTTCTTTTGCTTATGAGAATACTGTTATTCCAGCAACATAGCAATTACTTTTAGTTATGCTGGGGACGCAGCTCTGAAAACTGACCTGCTGTTGAGCCATAGCAGAGCCATTTTTGCAGTCCCCCTACCTGATGAATGGAAGCCATGCCGTTTACCCATCCCATGATGCAAGATTGGGCAACTGAAGAACTGCTTCTTTTCTCTAGGTCGCCATAAGCGCCTTCTGCAGGTCCAGGCTCAGTCCAAACGGAACCCACATTACCAGACATTGGAGCGAGATCTCATTGAGTTCCAGGAGCAGCAGCTCTTTGAGCTGTTCGTTGTGGTATCTCTGCAGAAGAAACCATCAGAGGCAACATATACCCCACAGGTTATACAACAGTTTCCATGTAAGGTTGGTGTCTGTTTACTTCTATCTATGCTCCACAAAATTAAATTTAGGTGCTTTTGGTTGGCCAGGTAGAATGGAACCTTCACTCCTGTTAAAATTGAACCTAAGTACTGACAGAGGAAACACAAGATGAGCACTGTGCCTTTGCTGAGCTCTGCTTTCACTGATTCAGAGTCTGTTTCTGGATGCTCAAAATGCCACGTTGCAGGAGAATATGTTATGGATTTAGTTGTTCATGGATTCCCAATGAGAAGTCCTTCAGTCTTTCTTGATTCAGACTCTATAAGAAATAAATAAATTAGTGCTCTGTCTGCCTTGTCTGTGTATAAGTATAGATCAGTGTTTCCCAACCTGGCCATCTTCCAGATCTGTAGATTTCAGTTCCCATGACTGTTGCTGTGAACTGTGGGAAGTGAAATCTACACATCTGGAAGCTGGGAAACACAGGTTTAGGTGAGGTACAATGTTTATACAGTGGTTGGGTTTTGTCCACAGCAGTATTATCCGTGCTACGATCAGCAGAAAAGTAACATACTGTCTTATGCATTAACCATATTTCATTGCATGTTTTCACCATCTACTTTCTATGATTTCAACCTCGTGCAAAAGAGTATGATTTCATAGAATAGTTTTCCGGGGCTTATAGTGTATTGTGGAGGTGCAGTTTTTTCTGAGCCTAAGTGGTGAATTTGTCCTTTGAATGGGATGCTAGCAGCTAGATTCCAAAGAGTAATGGTTAGCTTTGGGGGAAAAAACCACCTTCATTTACATTTAAAATTATCTGAATCCATATAAAGTTAACTTGATAATTCTCTGGTGATACAAATATCTCTGTCTTCTATTACCTTCTGAATTACAATTTGGTAACAACTTCTGATAACAATCAAAGGTCCTGGACAGATTTAAACCTTCTACGTGCACATTTGCATCCTTGGATATATATTTGGAATCCAGTGAATTGGGGGAAGAAGTTTGAGGGAGGAATTATTTGGAAAAAAGGAACAATGGATCGAGGACAGAATTTCCTGTATTTGTTTCCTCTTCTCCAGCCACCATTTCTTTTGAAAAAAAGCAGCCATCAAATATACATATGACACCAATGTGGTTGTGGGGGGAGGGCTGATTCCCTCTGCAGATTCTGGTAGACTGCAAAATGGTTTGCACCTTTGTTTTTTGGGGGAAAACATACACTAGTTTCTTATGCTAGACTCAGATGAGGAATGAAATACAATTGAACAACAGCAATTCCAAAATTGTGCTGATTTAATACAAACTGCTACTGATATTAAAACAGCACTGGCCTACATTGCTCAGAAATATAGTGAGCAATGATTCACAAGGTCACATGCTTGTTGCACTCTTTATGTCGCTGTTGACAAAAAGCATGATGGCATTTTGCCAGCCCATGTCTTCTTCTGCCTAGGAAATGCTTTGTAGTTTGTTAACAAGATTTGCACAGAAGGGTCTTTCAGACTGGGATCTAGCAGGAAAACTTTACTCTAGTAATTATGGGGCAGTGATTATATAACATGAGCACCATTATTACAGACTTCCACCAGCTCCCAAAATAATTCTGTTTCCAAACAGTCTGCCAGTCACTTGCTTGAATAGACCATGTAGTGAAGGCAAACATCAAAAGGAAAACTAAGAACTATCTGAAACTTGTTACTCTTTAGAAAGTTCTGTTTTGTAAAAAAACACACACAGTGAAAGTTAGTCTCAAAGGTGCTTTTTTCAAAAGGCAACTGGACTATTTTTTTTTTCTCCCTTGAGGAAGGAGAAGACGTTTCACTTCTCATTCAAGAAGCTTCATCGGTTCTGGCTGAAGGGTGGTGATGATGCTGGTGGAGGGAATGAAAGGATTAGTTCTAACAGGAGATCCTTCCATTCCCCTCCTCCCACCATCCCAGCCAAGGACGGAGGAAAAAAACACCTTTGAGACAACCATGACCTGGATGACTGACTGAGAATCTCCATAAACATTTGCTGTGAAAAGTAGCTCATTGAGAACTGGAATAAATAGTCAGGGGGCAAAAAAAGTCTTGATGTTGTTCAAGAATCAGAATGTATTGGTAGTTATATATAGAATGTTGACAATGAATTGTGAATAGATTCACAAAATGATAGCCTCGGGTGGTTGCCCATTCATAAAATGATAGTCTCAATAGATCTGGCACATCAGAAAAATTTCCAAGCTGAATTGCAACAGCTGCCATTCCCCCCTCCCCCCCCCAAACGCATGTAGGGCCTGTGTGATGCACAGAAACCGTTTTCAAAATAAATTCTAGAGGCAGATGGTTTGCCTAGCAGATGGCAGCATTCCATTTTTATTATTTAAATCATATGTTTAATTTAAAAACTTGGTGGGTGTCTTGAAAGATTCTTGGATAAATTGCTGCCCACAGCTTCCAGATACCGTTGAAACACAGTCACTGTCTCTGCATCTAATTTAGGTCAATCTGCATAGAGGAAAATATTAGCCTGGTTTTATTTGTTTGACAGCCTGGCAATTTTTTTTTCTATTTGCAGTCTGACCATCCTTTTCGTCAATCTAAGGATACTGAAGACAGACTAAAGGTCATTCCCAAATTTTGTTTCCCAGATCCCAAAGATTGGTGTCCAACCTCAGAAACAAAGAGGTAAGCGGTGATGCCTAATGCCTTACTCATTTTGGCTAGAGTTTTGAGGCATATACGAGAATCACTTACCATTTTTTGGTGATTAATCATATTGTTGGTTTAGTGACCATACTTTACAAAACTTAGAAACTGTTGCAGTATTAAGCACAATTTAGAAACTGTTGCAATATTAAGCACAATTTAATTTTAATCTGGTCTCCATTACTTTGCTGTATTAATGAAACTTTTCCTGATGCTTTCATCAAAATATTTTAAACCACAGCCTTAAATATGCATTTCCAAAATGTCTAGGTTTCTTCATAAACATTGTATTAGTGTTTATATGCCCCCAAGAGGATGGTTGTTGTTTTTCTTTTCCTTCCTCCCTCCCTCCCTCCCTCTCGCTTCTTTCTTTCTTCTTTCTTTCTTTCTTTCTTTCTTTCTTTCTTTCTTTCTTTCTTTCTTTCTTTTTCTTTCTTTCTTTCTTTCTTTCTTTCTTTCTTTCTTTCTTTCCTTCCTTCCTTCCTTCCTTCCTTCCTTCCTTCCTTCCTTCCTTCCTTCCTTTCCCTTCCCTTCCCTTCCCTTCCCTTCCCTTCCCTTCCCTTTCTCCTTCATGTTTTTCCCTCTGCAAATCAATTTGCTTTATTTTGTTTTGTTTGAATTACAATTGTTTTATTGAAACATATTTATTGTTTCAATAAAAGTAAAGGCAAGAACATGAGACATGGTAACATATTCATGTCGCTATTCCTCCTATTAATATTTGCAGACTTTTCCATTTCTCCAAATCTGCTTTAATTTGTTGCATCAGTTTATAGTAATTATCTTCCTTAAAACATCTTGTTATCAGATGAATCTCTAAGTATTTTACTTTCTTAGTAATCTGAATATCTATTCTCTTCATTAACTCTTTTTTCTGCATGTCTGTAAAATTTTTAACTAATATCTTAGTTTTCTCTTTATTTATTTTCAATCCTGCCACTTCGCCGTATTCCTCTATTTTTTTTTATTAATTTAGGCCCTGTTTCTTGTGGATCTTCCAAAATGAAGACTAAATCATCTGCAAATGCCTATAGTTTATATTTATTTCTTTTTTATTTCCATATTTTATCTCTAAATAAATAGAGATAAATATTTGTCTAATATTTCTGTTTAATACTTGTCTAATATTGTCTAATATTTCTGTTTAATACTTCCAGTGTCAATATTAATAATAGAGGTGACAAGGGGCATCCTTATCTTGTACCTTTTTTAATGTTAACCTTCTCTGTCATATCTCCATTTACCATTACCTTTGCTGTTTGTTTATAATATATCGCCTTAATCATGTTAATAAATCTCTCCCCAAAATCCATATCTGTTAATTGTGCTAGCATAAACTGCCAGTTCACATTGTCAAATGCTTTCTGTGTGTCTAGAAAAATCAATGCCATTTGCTTTCCTGGATGTGCTTCATAGTACTCTGGTGTATTTAAAATTACCGTATTTTTCGAACTATAAGACACACTTTTTTGCTTCCCAAAAGGGGGTGAAAATGTCTGTGCGTCTTATAGACTGAATATTGCTGAAGCCCCACCCAGCCGTCGGTCATTTTTTGGCTTCTGCATGCTCTGTTTTCAGGCCTTTTTTCGGCCCATTTTCAGGGTTTTTTCAGCCTGTTTTTGAGAGTTTTTTTGGCCTGTTTTTGAAGCTTTTTTCGGCCCATGTGCTTGTTATTTTCCGCCTTCTAATACAGTGCCACAATGGCTTAGATGTTGCTGGCCCTAGCGTTCCCATCATACTTACACTGTGATGAAGTGATCATTTCTAAGCTGCCAATTATGGTTATTTGCAGCAGGGTGGAGAACTTGGGAAGTCAACATATAATAAAAGATCTCTTGTAAACTTTCTGGAGCTCTGAAAAAAACCTGTATATAGAAGTTGATTGGAGAAATATGTTTTATATACAGTTGTGATATAATAGCTCTTTGCACTTGTTTCCTTAATAAAACTAACAATCATTTTTGTGTATGTGTGTTGTTCAGTGAAACCTTTTCCTTTGTGCTAACTGGTGAGGATGGCAGCCGCTGGTTTGGATATTGCAAAAGGCTCTTGGTGAGTATATTAATTAAGTATATATTAATAAGAACAATAATATTGACCCCCTCCAGTGAGGCACTACCTTGATGTGATTGTGGGGTTTGTGTGCTCTGAGGAATATGAGAGCTATGCCAGAGGTTCAACCATACTGGACAGATCTCATCAGAGGAGCCGGATGAAGAATGTCTCTCCCATAATATGGTGGGATGTAAATTACAGAAACACATATTATTTTGCTCATTGCCTGGGTCAACAGGTAGTTCCTGGACATCTGGTAAAAAATGGGCTATAGGACTCAGGACTGTTGGCTGAGTAACGAGGGCCAGCAGTTGCAGACGTACTGGAAGAAAAGGTGTTTACCCATTGCAAATATACGGAGATATATTTGTAGAATATAAGAAATAATGATCTGTTATTACAGATCGAGTCCAGCAAGAAGAACTAATGCACCAGTTCTGGAAAGAACAACATCCAGAATCAGAAACAACAGAACAGAGGCTAGCAGATCAATGTTGATTTATAATACAAAATAAAGTATTCACAGAGGCAGAATTGGACCTTAAAATAGACAAAGAATATAATAATAGAAAATGAAGAAGCTAAAGTGCTCTGGGACTTAAGAATTAAAACAGACAGGCTCCTGCCACATAACATTGTCGATAAGAAAGACAAGAGAGTCTGGATGGTGGATGTGGCAATACCGGGAGATAGCAAAATAGAAGAGAAAGAACTGGAAAAGATAACAAATACAAAGACCTGCAAATAGAAATAGAATGACGATGGCAAAAGCAAGCAAAGGTGGTACTAATAGCAATAGGTGCCTTGGGTACAATCCCAAAACAACTGGAGCATCCCTTGAACACCATCAGCAATAAAAAAAACAACAACAACATTAATCAATTACAAAAGGAGTTTTTCTCAAAACAGCTGGCACAATACCTTTAACACTATCAAACATAACATCTGCCTTGCTAGGTGGATAAACATGCCAAGTATAATCTGAATACCTGTTTGACTATGCAACAAACAACAAACAACAACAGCAATAATAGTAATAATAGTAATAATTATAATAAGCCATCTGACTCCCGGCAACTCTTTAGTGTAAAAACTGAATGAAAGAATGAAAGAATTTGTCAAGCCTTTGGAATGAATGTAGGTATCCCATTGTCCCAAAATTTTGCAGTGGAGCAACATCAAAATCTGCCAACATTTGTCTTTTCCACAGTCAAAAATTTCTAAAAGGAATCAGAAGAAAAAAACGCTCTAATGGAAATTGAATACAACCAGTGGTAGTTGTTATTTGAAGAAGAGCTTATATTGAGGAGAAATACATTTTGAAAACCTCTGATGAACCTGGGTACATCAGAGAAAGTCAAGCATCTATGGAAGGTGCTAGTCTAAGGTCTTGTTATATTAGTGAAACATACATTATAAAGCCTCCATATGCTTAGCTGATATTGTGACTTTTGTATTATTTTTTAAAAAAAGAGAATAGAACAGAATACTTTATTGTTCCAGAGTGATTAGACACACAAGGCGTTTGTCTCTGGTGCAGAAGCTCTCAGTGTACATGCAAACAACAGACTAATAATCATCATAGTAACAATACTAATGAAAGGGTGGAGAAAAGAAGATAATAAGGATAAGTGATAATACTATAGCCATACTACATGGTTAAATAGACATAGACATTAGATAGAACTGTGAGAATTAGAAGTTCAACAGTTTGCTGGCGTGAGGGTTAAAACTGTCCCTGAGTCTTGCTGTTTTGGCCTGCAATGTAGTACCATCCTAAGGGGAAGAGTTGAAACCGTTTATGTCCAGGATGTGAGAAGTTTTGCAAATATCTTCTAAGCCCTCCTGACCCCACACAATATACAGGTCTTCTATGGAAGGCAAGCTGGTTGCAATTATTCTTTCTGCAGTCTTAAGTATCCGTTGGAGTACCTGAAGGAATCTGGATCCAGATGTTTTCTTGCTAAGAATGATAATAAAACAGATAGAAATGTTCAGCAATTTGTATTTATCTCTGTTGTGCAGGAGCTAGTAAAGAGCAATCATTTGCAAGCAATCTTATTAATAGATAGTTTGCGATGTGCTCAGGTGCTTTGTACCATAGATAAATGTTACTTAGATGAAAAGACATAAATAGCGAAGGGTCACTCAAACAGTTAATGAGGCTGGTGTGTCAAGTAGAAAAAAGAAAATGGGGGAAGCCACACTGGGAGACTTGGTTAACTGTTTCTTTCTATTGCTTTTTAGCCAGAAGGAAAAGGAAAGCGGCTACCTGAGGTCTATTGCATGGTTAGCCGTCTAGGTTGCTTCAACCTTTTTTCTAAGGTGAGGAACTTTGCATTCATATTGCTGCTTGCTTTGCAATAGCAAATATCTATGGGAATTACACTTCTTTTTAGTATAAAACTGGTTGCATAGAAAAGGCATGGCAACCATTTCTCTGCAGAGGATTCAATGTTCTTGCAAGTAATTTGCCCCGGAGGCAGGATGTGAACAAAGTCCGAGCCTGGAAGTGATATAACTTACCTGCTAAGTTCTGTTCTGGTGTGTTCCTTTTTATTTCTGCCCATTGAAGCTATGAAGAGGAAGGACAGCTTTATAACTTGTTTTTGCCAGATGCCTGAACTGATTACTTGCAGGAGACAGAAATACTTCAAGGCTGTCCTAGAGCCAAGCAAATTAGGCAGTTGCTTAGGACACCAAATTTTAGGGGGCACCAAAATTGAAAAGAATCCCAAAGTACTGTGCACAACTTGAAATCTGATGGGTTTTTTTTTTGTTGTTGCTTTAGAACTTTTTTTTTAGTATATTTTTCAAAAAAGACTTACAAACTCAGAGTTGTAGTTTACTGCACGCTAACCAAATGTTGCAAGACACCAAAAAGAAATTACAGTTATGGACCTCAGGAAGCTGATGTACTCCTGAAGCAAGACAAAAGTCTGATGGAAAGGTACAGGTAGTCCTCGATTTACAACCAGTAGTGGGTTTCAATTTCATTCGCTACCGGTTCGCTCAGGGACATGCATGTACGACGCTTCTGCGCATGTGCTGACGCTTCTGCTCATGCGCAGAGATGTTCGGGTGGGTGGGCGAAGCCACCGCCACTACCGGTTCCCCCAATCCGGCATGAACCAGTAGCAACCCACCACTGCTTATAACAGTTCATTTAGTGACTGTTCAAAGTTACAACAGCACTGAAAAAAGTGACTTTTGATTATTGTTCACACTTATGGCTATTACATATCTCCATGGTCACATGATCAAAATTCAGACGCTTGGCAGCTGACTCATATTTATGACAGTTGCAGGGTCCTAAGGTCATGTGATCCCCTTTTGCAACCTTCTGACACACAAAATCAATGGGCTTTGTGTCTGAGGCTGAAGGCTGAAAATCATAAGTGTAAAGTTCAAAAACTCAAAACGAAAAATAAAATAAGAAGTCACTTTTCTGAAATAACGAACTAATTCAGAAGATGAGCCAAACCATAGGGAATGCCAGAATATGACTTTGCCAAAGCTGCTGTAATGCTTTGATGCTAAAATAAATTGTGTCCTGCTGCAGAATTTAATGCTTTTGTATCAAAAATTCAGAGTGTCCAACGTCCACCAAAATGCTGAGGATACATTCTGAAAATAGTGGACATGACTTAAAATTAAAAGAATAATGAACAGAAAAGAAAAAAAAATTGAAGGTGGCCCAGAAAGCTCTTAGGGGCCTGGACTACCCGTTTTCAGGGTTAATAATCAGGAAAATTGGTTTCATGAAGGTTTGAAAAGCAAAATATTTTGCAAACTATAAATAAACTATTGAGAACCAGTCTGATGCAATGGTTAAAGGCATCAGCCTAGAAACCAGGAGACCATGTGTCCAGACCTGCCAGATGAATGACGGACCAGCCACTACCAGTATCTCTCAGTCTTAGGAAGAAAGGATTGGCTAGCCACTTCCAAAAATGTTGCTAAATAACCTGCACTGACTTGAAGGCGCACATGCACATGTGCGTGCACACAACCTGATATACATATTATATCATATATTATATCATATATTATTTCAGTCCTCTTTCCACTGTCTTAAAAGGAACCAGACAGGTAACAGAAAATTCGTTTTATGCAGATATTAGATGAAGTGGAGAAGAGGCGTGAGATGTCCCCTGCCCTAGTTCACCCATTCATGCGCAGTGTTATGGAAGCACCATTCCCTGCTCCTGGGCGTACCATCACTGTGAAGAGCTTCCTGCCCGGAGCTGGCAATGAGGTAAAAGCTGAGACATAATTTTCATCCAGTGAAGGCTCCTGTAGTTGTGGCAATCTAATAGGCTTATTTCATCATCCAGTAGAAGTAATTAATTCCTTTACTTCTATTCCCATATCATAGAATATGAAATAGGCTTATATTTCTTATTACTTGTCCCATAGAAGTGATGGAATTAATTTGACTAAAGCAATCTGAAGGCTTTCAATCTTTATGTTGGATTCTATTTGTCTGGTCTGTGTATCTCTTCCAGCCATTCACCAAAGCAAGTACAATAAAATAATGCATTTCTCATCCATGATTCTTTTTCATTTCTTTGCTTTTAGGTGATTGAGCTTTGCCGTCCACTGGATTCCCGATTAGAACACGTAGATTTTGAATGTCTCTTAAAGTGCCTCAGTGTCTCTAATTTGATCCAAGTTTGTGCTTCTCTTCTGCTAGAAAGAAGGGTGATTTTTGTTGCTGACAATTTAAGGTGACTCTTTGATGCTACTGTAAACTTGTGATTTTTGTTATGCAATGTATATGTAGGCTGGACAAAAATGTACAGGGAAACAATCTTCAGCCCAAAAGCAGGCCAATACATTTTGTTTGAGCAGGGAGAGTGTACATAGAAAGTGAGGTATCTGTTTTTCAAGAGGAAAAAATACATCAATCTACCCTAACATGTATTTGGACAGAATATTTCACGTACATGGAACCAGAATTAAATGCTGTTCTGGAAATCTGGTATAGACTTCACCTTTGGGAGAAGTGCGTAGAACTCTCCCTTCCAAGAACTGTTATATTTCCTAATGCTGGTGACACCTATGTGACTAGTTTTCTATTTAAAATAATTTGCCTTGGGAGCACTAGCATGATTAGGAGAATTCCAGGCCTTCTCTTGGGTGTGCTGCCTTGTATCATTCAGAACATCTTCAATGTGGGACAACATTCAATTTTGCACTTCATTTGTTTTGAATGAGCCATTTCTGTTTCTTTTACTTATGTAGAACCACTTCATACATTACTGTTTAGTTTCTTCATATGACCATCTCCTGAGGGGTTCAGATACTGATGTTTTGTTTACTGATACAATTTTCATTTCATGTTCTTTCCATATAGTACCTTGTCCAAATGTGGCCATGCTGTGGTTGCAACCCTCTACCCATTTACCTGGCAACACACTTACATCCCTGTCCTGCCAGCCTCCATGATAGATATTGTTTGTTCACCTACTCCTTTCCTCATTGGCATCCTCTCCTGCTCCTTAACACATCTCCAGGACCTGCCTATAGAAGAGGTGAGATCAGTGAAACCAGAATGCAGAGCATTCTTACCATGCTGTACGGCTGCTAAAGGCTATGGTAATGACTGCATAACTTACATTTAAAAACATGGTAATTCATCTTTGAGGTCAAAGATATTGTGCTGTTTTGTCTTTTTAAATGTGAGACTGGTAATTGTCCAAAGGCTATTCCCAGAACTAATTAAAGCAGAATTCTGAAAGACTTGCTTTCTCTGTTGAGAGTTCAAGTAGCTGTACCCGGCCAGTTATTAAGACTGTAAGAGCTTTCCCTTATTTCTTCAGAGGGACTGGATTTAAATTAATGCTATGAAATAGTAAACTTGTTGCATTCCAAATTGTTAATAGTTAATGAGAACTGCAGAAATTTAATACAAAAGAGTAGCCCTGTGGTCAGCTCTGAACATTTCATGCAATTGAAAAGGGGGCAAGGGGTTGCTTGAAGCAATTGAAGATTTGCATTAATTGTATGACTCTTCCTTTTCTTAGGTGCTGATCGTTGATCTGTGTGCCGATAAATTTCTGCAAAAGGTGAATAAAATAATACTAGTTTCTTCTTTGCCATAGGAAATAACAGCACCGAGCTGCTGTGACAGTATTTGGCTCAACCCAAAAAAACGAAGAATGATCTAACCTGGTTAATATTTGGATGAGAAACTGCTAGAGCTATAAATTACGCTGGAAAATTAGGGGTGAAAAAAAATCCCAGAAGAAGGAAATGGCAAATCTCCGTTGCCTAGAAAACTATATAGATGTGTCGTTGAGCTCAGCTCCAAGGAAGTCTTCACATTTTATCACTATTTCTACATTTCAGAAAGCAATTATGTTGCAGTTTGTATTACAAGAAAAGTTGAAGTAAAGCAAGCTGGCTAGGTTCTGTCCTGAATTGTGGTTTATTTTTAAATATGGAAAGTTTAGAATACAGTTGAGAACAATTACAGTACATCCTTTTCTGATTGAGGTAAAACCACCATGCAGATCTTCTAGGTTTCTGCTACTGGTGGTAGGGGTGGGTGACAGTATATAAACTCATTCCCACAACATTAAACTGTCTGAACATGTCATTATGATAAATGCCAGCCTTGACTTTACATTTTTATTTTAATTTTAATTTACTGTATATAACAATAGAAGGGCTGAATTAGAGTCATAATACAAGTGTAAATTTATTTAAGCTTTCCCACTGACATTATACTGTTATCAACTCCAACCCTATGCTGCAATATGCAACCAATAAATAACAAGGTTCATCCCAAAGGTACCTTTTCAAAAGGCAACTGGGCTTTGTTTTGTAAGGCTCCTCCTTCCTTTCTGTGACTTGATTCATCTAATTGGGTCAGCTGCTGTTTAGAAATAATCATATCATACAGAAGGCCAAATCACACATGCTGTGTATCATAGAGGATGGCACTTAGGAAAACCTACAATGGGCTTCTTCTCCTCTACTTCCCTTCATTGTCTAGACACATGTGGGCTTTTTGTTTACTTTTTGTTTTTTTGTTCCTTAAAATAATCTGTCATGATGTTGTACTTGCTGGTGACCATCGTCTGCTGTTGACCAAAGTGCTGCTTTTGCAAGACAAATAAGCACAGATTGACTAATTGCTCATTGTCTTATTCTGCAAAGCAGAAGTTAAAAAGGTGTTGAGTTGTGTTGTTCTAGCTGATTGTCTTAACCCTGATTGTCTGAATTTTAGCATCAGGGTGTTTGCAAAATATCCCTCCCTATGCAATTTCTAATACAGAAAATATTATGTTGTCAACTTCCACATTTTTATACTGGCAATTTATATTATAGACCCTGTTGTAAATCGATTTATCAATTTATATCAATCAATCAATCAATCAATCAATCAATCAATCAATCAATCAATTGATTTTATCAATCAATTTATATGTGGCTGATTTTGTTTGCACTTTATAATATGTGGCCTAATCATGCATCTGTACACTGACACTGAAGACATTTCATAGAGTTGTAGGTACTGATGCTTAATACAGCATTTTGTTTAGTTCTGAGGACATCAAGTTCACCCCATTATTTTTTCTCTGTCTCCTACACTATTTTATTTCAAAGGTTTCAGATGAGGATGAAATTCTACCTCACAAGCTTCAGGCTGCACTTGTACAGATCTTAGAAGAAAGGCATGAAATCTTGTCTCAGGAACGCTGCTACACACAAGGTGACGTTGATTGAAAAATAATTCTGCCTCTAACCTTGCTTAGAGAAATAGATGTATTTCTTGCTCTGAGTGAAAAATAACAAGAATGAAGTCTAGATAATGTTTGTCTTGTTCCCCAAAACACTGTAACTTTTAAACATATGCTTATCTTCAATTTGAAGATTGAATATCTTCAATTTGGAAAAAAAAAATGGCCTTGCACACTAATAGCTTCTTCTCCATTACATTACTTCCTGGATTGACTGTGTAATATGGCATCTCTTTCTGCAGCTGATGTGACATTGGACTCTCTAGTATCAGAGGCTTTTGTGCGCTTTTTTGTGGAAATCGTGGGACACTATTCTTTGCACATGCATGTCACTGAGAAAGGAGAGAGAGTATTCCAGCGGGAGCCCTTCCGGAAGTCCCATACATCCCGCAGTGTGCGCCATTTCCTAGATATTTTCATGGAGACACAAATGTTTGCTGGTTTCATCCAGGACCGAGAGCTACGGAAGAGTGGGGTAAAAGGTGAGCTGTTGGTGTAGAACAAAAATAGTACAAATTCAGGATGATGTTCTCTCTACATATATCTGCTGCCTTTCTCCTGGGAAGTTGAAGATATTGATGTGCTCAAACCACTTGTTTTGAATTTTAGTAAGTTTTTAGCCTGGAAACTGAATGTTTATTGCTGCCATAAACCAAAGCATTTTAATAACTAGACATAGAAGATAGGAATGATTTAATATTTTAATAAGGACAAATACCTCTTGCTTTTAAAAGATTCTGCTAGTTGCACTAGAAATATCTGTTTTCAAAGTTCCAGCTCTTGCCACAACTTAAAAAATATCTAGAAGGTAAAGTCATACTTAACTTGCGCTTGATTCTTGGTGATTTACATCAACACATTCATGTTGTTTTTGTGCTGATAAAAGGGAAGTGGATTGCCATTGCCTTCTGGGATCTCCCCCCCCCCCCCAAATTTTCTAGCCTAGATGACAGCCCTGGGATTTTCCTAGGGTTATCCTACTGCTACCTAGCTTTGACCCTATGTAGCTTTTTGAATTTAGTCAGGTGTTGCCATGTGCTTTTTGTTACATTGAAAAGAAATAAAATTTAAACATATTCCAAATTAAATCTATATATCTTTAAATATCTTCATTAGTTTATTAATGAACAAGAAAAAAAATTGCAAGTTCAATGAACAGATGGAACTCTTTCCCTTCACTTTTGAAAGGTGTGGGAACTATGATCATCCAGATATTGCTGAACTAAAATTCTTTCCAGATGGTGCTGAACAAGCAGCTTTTGGCCCTGTTGCATGGGAGTTGCAGTTCAACATCTGGAAGGTTTCAGGTTGCTATCCTTGACTTACAACAATTTCAGAATCAGAGAGACAGAACCCATAAGAAATTGTGCCTTCCGTGAAGTCTGTCCTGACTTCAACATTTGCTTTCATAGTTGAGCAAGGGGAGGGGGGGGGATCAGCCTTGTTTTTCTTTGAGAAATAATTGTAAAACTCCATTTCCAAATATGGAGAGTGGTGTGCATCTATCCATTAATACATGCAAATTATATAATTGTAGAGAGTTATATATTGCATATTTCACCTAATTTTGATGCTAGAGAATTGAGAGATTTTCTACCTGAGTTTCAAACATTCTCTTCGTAGCCTTCTGATTTTCTAAATATATTTTTGCTTCTTCAGAGCTCAACTTTTAAAATAGGAGAAATAAAAAAAAAAGGGATGCTTTCTGGAGCAAAAGCATCTATTGAAATATTGCTTTCTTTTTCAAGGCTTGTTTGAAGTTCGTGCCTTGGAATACTTGGAGACCATTCCAGAGACTGAGCCAAGTGGAATGAACAAAATCCTTCGCAGTCTGGGTGAGTCATCCTCAGATTTGTTCTTGGTTAGTCTAGTTGTTTGTGATCCACTCCGACCTTGATCATATTACTTTGATTCCTAAAATGGTACTGACAGCTGGAATGATTTTTATGATGTGACTTTCTAACTGTTTAGTTGAGGGTTAGAATCCTTATCTTGATATTCAAACAGAAATTTAGTAATGTAGTTGAGGAAGAACTTTTGCCTCTTATGCTTTAACTTTAACTTTTTATATTTTAATTGAAGCTTACACTTCAGCTGAGCTATGTTATTTATTATTTACCCTTATAATCTACTTTTCCTCAGGAGGTCAAGGCAGTGCATGGCATGCCCACCCATTGTGCTTGCAACAGTTCTGTAGTAGATTGAGTTGAGAGATGACCCAAGTCATCCAGTGAGTTTCTGTGGCTGAAGGTGGACTTGAACCTGGATCTTCCTGATATCAGTCCAATAACTTAACCTTTAAGCCACACTACTCTCATGATCATTACCCTTAACTGGGCTTATGTTGCAAGGTAATCTATAAACCACTCACGTTGCTCAGTTTCCAAAATCTTGTAAATCAACATTTGTAATCCTTCTTGTGGCTTAGCACAATATATTGACCTCATCTTTGATTTTGAAGTCTTAGGCTCCCCAGTTCACTTTTTGCCACTTACAGTATTAAGAAATTGATTTTGCAGTATGATGTCAATGGATCAGTGAACCTTCGTGTTAACTGCTTCTGTTAACAGTTATTCAGTTAACAGTTACATGTTCAGTTACCTGATAATTTTTGCCTAGTGAAAATGTAGAGCATTGCACTAGAAGTTAATATTGGGACCTAAACAAATGGAATTTAAAGCAGCTTCTAATAGCAGTCCTCCTATTCAAAGTCTGAGGCAGTCATATTCTTCTCTAAGCACCGCAAGTGGTGAGAAGGCTCAAGCAGGGCAGCTTCACTCCCCCCCTTCCTGTTGCTGTTGTCTTGTACTTCTGCAACACTTTGGCATTTCTCCAACCATCCTTCTATCTCTGTCTTCGGTTCACCCCCTCTCCCAATCATTTGACTATAATCTAGGCAGCAGTGTTTGTTGTTAAGTAGATAATTTGTCTGAACTTGCTCCAATTAATTTAATTCTAAAAATTATATGCATGAATGCACTGTATTTAGAATGTTAAGACCAAGGCTGAAAGAGCTGTTTTTGGCATATTGAAATGTACCGTAAATTGTAAATTACAATCATCATCCCTTGCTCACTATCACTCAAAACAGAACACTACAGTTATGTGCTAAAGAAGCTTAAGATTTCAGGAGCTGAAAACCATTTGCATTCCATCAGGCAAATTTCATGTAGAAAACTTCATATATTCTCTTCTCTTCTATTGATAAACATTGTATAATTGGGGTGTTGCTACTAAAAGCCTACTTAGGCTTTTCTGCATCTCATTTATAGGGGGATCTGGAGACCCTCAAAAATGTATTTAAATTTTGAGTGTGTTGGGAGATACTTTTAAAATATTATATTCCCTTTACCGTTCCCTGAGAGAAATTTTTCTGTTCTGAAAAAATCCAATCCTAAAATTCCACAAGTCAAAATTAGCCACTGTGAATTTTGACAGACAAACTTTCCCTTTTTTTTTTTTTTGTAATTCCCACATGGTAATATATCAACCTTTCTTTTTATCTCCTGTTGTATTTTAGGTAATAAAATGAAGTTTCTACAAAAGAAGTGAAAAGCCAAATGCAGAATCACTAAGCTTTATTTTACAATCCTGGCAAGCCATAATGAGATGGCTGTGTCGTTGTGGTATTCTGTTAGATTCTTCAGGTCCCACGTGAAGAACTTCAGATGACCGGAAAAATGAGCACCAAATATGAACAGCATGCTCGGTCTCTGTTCTGCTTGGTCCGGTTGGAGTTTTACTGAGCAAAAAATGAACTTCTGTTTACAGAGATGATTTATAAAGCAGAAATGACAGCAGAAACTATATCCTTATTTATACTGCATGGCCGGAAAAGATTCTCCCTTTTTCCTCATGTTATTAAAAATATGCTCAAAGCAATCCAATGCCTCAGCTCAAAGCAATCTGAAGGATTCAGCTGGTACCTTTTAAAAAGAGGAAGAAACCAGGAAAGAACCAGGAATCCAGCAAAGTGACTATGCCAATATTTCCTTGAATAGATTCTTTGCACAAGAAAGCCTTTCCTAAAGCTGGTTGGAGGTTATAATCTCTCCTTGACTCTAACACCATCGCATCAGATATTCTATTGGCTTGATCATTCATGTTAACTATTGTTTGGACATATTACTGCACTATAAAGCTTTTTTTCTCATTTTTGAAAGCAAAACAAAGAAGACTGTTTGCTATGTTAGTCTTAATTGTTGTGAATGTGCACACTGTCTAATTACAAGTCCATCTCATATATGACAGAGGAAATACCTCATGCTAAAGTATTGTTTACTTGTCAGGAGAAGACTGTTTTCCCAAATGGAGTATGAATATTTTTCAAAGTCAAGATGTTCACATTGAAATAGACTAATTTGCTGCCGAACTGATGTAAAGGGACAGACAATAACTTTCATGCAGTCTATTTTGCAGTAAAAACTGGAATAACAAATTATTCTTCCCTTGAAGCATCATTCTACTCTTTTCCCATAGCTGAATATCATCAACAATATGCTTCTTCATCTAACGTTAAATCTGTCAACTGCTTTCAATAAATACTGAATTTTCTTATTAGCTACTCCTGGAGATGCCTAGCATTTGATATAATCTTTTTAGGATTTATTATGTAAATATTGAATTTACATAGCCCATTAATCAAATATGACAGAAAGTCTAGGTTCACACATTGACCTCAGCCAAAATGCAGTTTGTGTTGGGTGAAACCAGTTACTGTGGCTTTAGGCCATGGTTATTGGCTTGTTGTAATGAATACTCAGCCAAATATCATTTATGTAATAAATCATGGTTAAATCTTAGTTTACTATGATATTGACTTGCAGGTATTTCATGAGTCATTCACCTCTGCAGATCTCTTGCATAATATATAGCTAATGGCTCCTGTCTAGTAAAATGTTGCCTGTGAGCAAAAATGTCCCAAGTGAAAGGGGATTTTTCTTTGAAGTGCATAATGCTGAAGTACTGGGCTGTTTCTCTGCTGTGTGGTTAAATTGACCTTTGGATGAAACAAGTTTGTGGCTTGCCTCTTATCCAAAAGAAATGCTGCTTTTAATGAGGAACAGTTACTCTTTTGTTCCCTTGCAGCATGTAAGGTAGATCTATCTAAGAAGAAGGGAGTTCAGTAAATAATATCAAAGATAGTAAATAATATCAAAGATAGTACATAATATCAAAGAAGATAATATCAAAAAACTGGTGAAATTTTATCATGAACTCAAGCTCTACTCAGAGAATATGAACATTGTCCATCTCTGAAACAGAGAGAACAGGCAGAAGTTTGACTTGCTGATTCTCCATGAGGAGTTAGACAATTTATTGAAAGCCCTAGGAAATGTCCTTATTTTCATTTGGCCAGTCAACAGCCCACCCAATGTAAGTAAATTCAGAACAACATTTTTCATCTGGTGAGATTGCAGGTTGATACTCATGTGGTTCATACTGAGGGCTTTTCTGCAGTCTTCAGCTGCTTGTCTCCCAAAATAAACAGCCTGAAAATGAAGCCGTTTAAAAAAATATGTTTTTGGATTTCAGTCTGTTTCTTTATTATGGTCATAGTGATGATCAGGTATTCTACTTGGACTGTGATTAACATGACCTATGATTGATAATTCCTTTTCTGCTTTTACTTTCTGCCTGTGCCGTGAAAGTGAGTGCTAGTTGCTTTCCATTCTATTTTGAGGACTGGGAGCAAAAAAAAAAGCAGAAAGACTGCAGTTCTTCTTCCTATCACTTGATCTAAAAAGGAAAACTTGGCAGAACTTTTGTCAGTTTCACCCAGTTAAAACAAGAAAACCAAGAAATGTCAAGCATTTCACCATCCTATGGCTGAACATGCATCACCACAGTTCCTGTCTCTTGGAACTTCCCTTAGAAGGGAAACTGCTGAATCTGTTAAAATAAAAAGAGAAAAATGTCCAGCATTTACTATTGCACTACAGGGCTGCTGTATAAAAAGATCAAGCTCCATCCTGTCATGGCATAAATGCCAATATAAAATGGCCTCTAAGACACTATAAGAGTGGAGGGGGGAGGCATATTTGCTACAGCAACTAGAACCATAACTTGGGTAAGATTAAATGAAGTGCAATTGGTGGACCAGACTGTCTTGCTTGTGCCAGAAGAGAGGGTGAAATGCCACTTTTTACATCAGATGATGATTGCCTTCCCAGAAGTCTAGAGGTGAACTGAGGATGATGCTTTCCATTCCTCCACAGACACACAGAAAAAAATTTATACACAGCCCATCTTTGTACTGGACAGGGAAGAAATGTGGATCAGTCTCTGGATGGGATCAACCTTTCTCCTCCATAGTATCCTCTACATATGGTGGAATTCAGAATTCAATCACTATGATCAATCTTGCGGTCCTATTTATATGGAAGGCAACAGTTGGAGGAAATTATACTGCAGTATATCAGGAGCACAATATACATATAACAGTGACACAAGCAAGTCCCAAACACAAAGAACAGAGTCTGAATTTAGTTGCTTTGCTTTGAAGGTTTCAGAATCTGGCTTCGGAATATGTAGCACCCTTCCCGTTTCTTGAATAGTAGCAGTTAAGAATTGCTTTTTGGAATATACTTCAGCACTTGAACTATGCTCTTACAGTATTCAGAAGAACAGGAAGACAACTTGGAGCCATGCCCACTTTTGAGAAATAATTGGGTTAATCTAGCCCCAAACATGTTCGAGACTCTGGGTACTTCTCAGTAGTCATCCTTCTTTGTCACATATGTTTGTTTGTTTGTTCTGCTCATTCTTTATAAAGCCTTAATTTATGCTGTATAGAAGAAACCAAAACTGTATGTACAAAGACGAAGCTATAAGAAATCAAAATCTTTTGGGAATAAAGTGTACTATTTTTGTGTTTTGATGAATCTTTGTTTTATCTGATGGAGTTGTATGGCCACTGTCCAGTATATGTCTAGTTTTCCTTCACTTCTTGCTCAACCCATAAAACCAGGTAGAACACAACAATGGCTTCACTATAAGTTGAATATAAAAACCTATTAAAGTTTTTAATGAGTTTGATAGCTACAGATTGTGCAGAATGTGACCTATCTCATGAATACTATTGCTTGACAGAAATGCATTAAACCAACATAGTTAGAACTTGCTGTAAATTTATGGACATAATTCAAGATAATTGTAGAGAGCAAGGAAGGTGGTCCTGATATGCAGGTGCTATTGCCTAGGCAAAAGGAACTGAGGCATTTTCTGTTTAAGTCCAGAATGTCCAGATAATATTCAGAAGTGACACAGGCAGTCACTTCTCCCATTTACTGAATAAGAAGGGGGTTGTGGTACAGTGTAATTAGACTTGCAAGATACTGCTGTTATAGCCAATCTCAATAAAAATACTTTTAGCCTGCCTGGAAATTTATTTCATGGTCTACTCTGCATAGTAGTGCTGCCAGTGATTGAAGATAATCACATGCCATCAAGTCAGAGTTGGTTCTTAGTGACCACATATGTAAGATTTTATCCAGGAGGATCTGCCTTTAGTTTGGTCTTTTGAATCTTTCAGTGGTGTACCCATTGTTAGTGTACATCCAGTTTGCTCCTGCTGTTTTTGATATATACTCTCCAGCATCTTGAATATCCTTTCCAAGGCTTCATGATTACTCTACCAAGTGCTAGTCTATGGTATACTTACTGACTGAATGTTCCTTTACTATTGATACTTTCTACCTTAACTATCTACCACTTCAATATATTTACTGTGTATTGTAAGGCTGGTTGCTGTACCTATTGTCATTATTTCTTTATTTAATTTTAGTTCCATTTTTTCACTGTGCTCTTTGACTTTTTTTAGCAGATTAGAGTAGTACAGCACAAATTATTGATGTTTCCTACAGTTTTAAAGCCATGTCCTTTTCCAATCCTGTTTCACTTTATATTCAGCATATAGTTAAATAAATAGAGTGTGTACAATCTTATCTCACATCCTTGCCAACCTGGAATCAATCTGCTTTACCATGTTCTGTCCATACTGTGACTTCCTGATCTGCCTGTAGTTTCACAAAAGAACAATGTGATATTCTGGGATTCCCATTTTTCTAGGTGCATTTCACAACCTGATATGGTCAACTCAAATGCCTTGTTATGGGTAAAATAGGAGAAGGAAGCAGTATTGGGTATGCTTACCTTCTTGAGTTATTTATAAAATAATAAAGATGGAATACAAATGGATATAATCAATGAAGCGTGCTCTTTTTTCTTATTCCTCAGCTTTTTCTTAGTAGCATGCTGAGTGTCATCTGACCTGAAGGGACCATCATCTGGCACTGTATTGTCAATAATTTTATATTTTCTATCCATGTGACTTTCTCGATAAAAAATACAGGAATAGTTTACCATTGCCTTCTCACTAAAGTGATAATCTGCCTCCAGCATTTTCATATATCGTGCTGTTCCATATATATGTGAGCTGGGGTGGCGCAGTGGTTAGAGTACAGTACTGCAGGCTACTTCTGCTGATCACCCGCTGCCAGCAGCTTGGCAGATCAAATCTCAACAGGCTCAAGGCTGACTCAACCTTCCATCCTTCCTTGGTCGGTAAATTGAGGACCCAGATTGTTGGGGGCAATATGCTGACTCTGTAAACCGCTTACAGAGGGCTGTAAAGCACTATGAAGTGGTATATAAGTCTAAGTGCTATTGCTATTGCTACGTACCTGCTTGCTTTAGATGGGCACCTTAACATCTTGGGTGACGTTGCTGGGACATACACTCTTGGCATATACTGCTAGCTTTCTTTACTCATTTCTATGAAGAACATTTCCTTCATATGATGATGCAGTGCAATAAGTGTCGGGAGGGATAATTTAAGCTATTGTAAAAATATTTTAAATTCTCAATATTAAAAAGACAAGATCATACAGGGGGTTCCTACCATAGAGTTATTTTATAACCAATTTCGTTGTATATTATCATGTACAATGACCAGAAAGACTATACTATTAACACCATAGTATTATTTTACATTAATACTGTAACATTGTTTATATTATTCTACAATAGTAATTATAGTATATACAATAATACTATGATAGCAAGTTTCTAAATGTGAATCAGACTTTTGATTTGTAAAACAAGCAGGGGGGCAGCTTGGAGGCTTTTGGCACTTTAATGATTTAAGACATAGAGCAAAACATTCTTATTTAAGTACAGGACAAGCCATAAACGGAATGCAAACATGTTAAGCCAATTTAATACCCAATATCTTTGTCCTCCGCTCCCCGTTTTCTTTTTCAAGCTGGCTGGGGAATCCTGGGTGTTGGAAGTCCACATATCTTAAAGTTGCCAAGTTTGAAAAACATTGCTATAGATGACAAGGGACATGATTATTTTGACATTAGCTCAGTAAGGAATATCTCATCTTTTTTTAGCAGTGGACTACGTAATGTACTTTTTGTCTACATTTGTGACGAATCCAGGATCTATAGCCCATCCTGGAAGCGTGCAAAGTAAGATACGTGCTTTCTCAAGCTCCTTACTGAGTTTTATGCTTTTTAGACCTGCTGGACAGCAAAAGCCCGAATATTTTTGCCAAGCTACAGTAGTGCGCAAGTGCAAGACCTGGAGTCCAATCATCTGAACAGCATGAGCTAAGGGAGGGGCGATCGAGCAGCTCCGTGGTGTCCGTAACGATGCGAAGGTACCGATTGGCTGGACGATTTCCAGGGCCTCAAAACTTGCCAATTTGAAGACTTCAACTCCCAGAATTCTTCAGCCAGCCATTCCGAGGGTAAAATTTAGGCCGAGGAGCCAAGGCTGAAGTGTACATCCGCGCAGGCGCTGAAAGAGGAGGCGAGGCCTAAACGGAGCTTTGTCGCGGGGCAACTGAGAAGCGGAAAGGGCTCGTGCGCGGTCCAGTATGGCCGGCCCGGGCTTAGTGGCGGGCGAAGTCGCTGTAGATGCGTTGCCCTACTTCGACCAGGGCTATGAAGCGCCGGGCGTCCGAGAAGCGGTAAGAGTGGCGCGTCGGGAAAGGCGAGAGGCGGGCCGGGGTCCAGTTGCGCCTGTCGGAGGAGCTAAGCTAGTCGCTGTCCGCTTTTCTCTCAGGCCGCGGCGCTGGTGGAGGAGGAGACGCGGCGCTACAGACCCACCAAGAACTACCTGAGCTACCTGGCGACGCCGGACTACAGCACTTTCGAGGTGAGCGCCACCCGTGTTTCGCGTGGGATCGGGCCCCGATCGAAGCCGGGACGCCCTTTCTGTCACCGCGTTGCTCCCGCCGTTCAGGAAGTGTAACGACGGCTCCCTAGTTCGATCCAACGGAGTTACGCGTGAATGATGGGAGTGGGAGTCCAGCCCATTACGGGAACACTGAATTGAGGAAAGGCCTCTTCTTGAAACCGTTTAAGAGTCTAAATTTTAGACATTCCGGAACACGAGCGCACAGAAGATACTGGCTGGGATGGAGGGAGTGGGTGAAATATGCTTGATTGACTTGTGTTTATTGACACTTTCCCTGATGCAGGTTTGCTATTTAGAAATAGGAGTAGTTTTGATCTTGCCCACAATTCTTGTTCTTTCTTTCTTTCTTTCTTTCTTTCTTTCTTTCTTTCTTTCTTTCTTTCTTTCTTTCTTTCTTTCTTTCTTTCTTCTTTCCTTCCTTCTTTCCTTCCTTCCTTCTTTCCTTCTTTCCTTCCTTTCTTCTTTTCCTTTCCCTTTCCTTTCTTCCTTACAAAAATTTCTGATAAAAACAGATTTTGTAGGCATGGTGAGTGGGTAAGAAAGGGACAGTAGTACTACTGTCAAACATAATATACTCTGCAGAAATGGTTGCGAGTAGAATAAATGTAATATTACCTTTCTTCCGTTGCAACTACAAAGGGCAGTTTTCAAAGTTTCTCCTTATTTGTGTGGATGTGTTCTGTGTGCAATATCTGTAGTGCTTTAAAAAGAAAATTTCCATTAGCAATAGAGTGGACCAGATGGAATGGGATGGAATGACCCTATCAACATCATCAAGATTGTGCTGCAGAAATTGAACGCTTCTAATTTCTAAATATCTTACCAAAAAAATCCCCATAACAGATCCATTTGCAATGTTAAACTGTAACCTAGAATATGTGGACAGACTCCGAACCAATTTAGACATTTCAGAAAATTGGAAAAAAAGACTTTGGAATTGCCACATTTATTCTCAATTGCAGTATCACTTTCATAGACTGGAATAAGTATGTGTCATATATCTGAAATGGACTTTTGACTCACAAAAACTGTTAGTAATGGTTTAGTAATAGTAAATTCTACTTTGTCCCCTAAAATTTACTTTCTGGCAAATTGTAGAGGATTATAATCTGCATTGATTCATCAGATGTTTTGTCTCTTGCTAAGAATTATATTTTCTAGTTCAAATAATAGACTTCAGGCCAATAATTTGTGAAGTGCATGTTGGCAAATTAGCATTTCTTTCACAGGGTTTTTAATTTTAGGATATTTCTCCATAGATAGTATTGCTGTTTGGTTTGTATTCATCTGGTTAGCTATGAATGGATAATTCACTCTGCATGAAATTTAAAACTTTGGTTGCAGAGATAAATGTATAAATGACATCCTCCAATTCTAATTAAGGAAAAATAATTCCACAAATCTATATTTCTGAATATGATGATCAGTGTATTGCCCAAGAAGTGGTAAAGTTTATAATCCAAAATCTCTAAAAGATAATGAGGTAAGACTGCTATACATGTATGTCTGTTGATAATGTGTTGATTATAATCTTTTGCTGCCTACTTTTTTTGGATATAACTAATTTATCTTTAATTTGATTCATAGACTGAAATAATGAGAAATGAGTTTGAACGCCTAGCAGCCCGACAGCCCATAGAATTACTGAGCATGAAAAGGTAAGGCTAGCTATATG